TAGATTGCTGACTCTCGTTTTCATATCGTAATTGACTGCTGAGTCCAATACATGTTGATTTTATTTTTTATATCCTCCATCTTCTGCTTTATCATTTCTGTGTTGTATCTCATTTTCCTAATGCTTTCTCCCATTTTAAGCTTTTGTTTTATCTTTATGGTGACGTTGCATAAGACAAGGTGATGATCTGATCCAATTTCTGCACTTGGGAAAGCTCTACATTGGGTGACAAATTTCATCCGTTCTATCAGTATTAAATCTATCATGTTCATTGTTTTTCCGTCTGGTGACTCCCAAGTACATTTGTTGTGGTTTTGCTTCTTTGTGTTTGTGACATACAATCGTCGGTCCTTCACAAACTCTAGTAACCTTTCCCCTCTATCATTTTTATCTCCTACACCTTATTTTCCCATTACTTCTTCAAATTCAATGTTGTCACTTCTAATTTTACCATTTCAGCCCCCAACAAAGATCTTGACATCTTTCTTTGGTAAGGTTTTCCATGTTTGTTCCAGTTTGTTCCGTTTCAACTTCATTATCCAAATTATTTGTTGGTGGAGCATAAGCAACTATCACAATTATATATCTCTTGGATATCTTTTGAATCTGGCATACATCAACCTGTCATTTACTGGATTGTATTCACTTAATGCTCTTCTTGCTTTCTCTAAGAATCATTCCCACTCCATGAATATGCTCGGTTTCTGTTCCTGACCATAACAGTTTTCCTTTCTCCAATTCTCCACTTCCTGTCCATCTAGCTACACACATACCAATCACATCATAACTAAACCTCTTTTTTCAACATCGCATATGTTCCAGCTTGCCACAGTGACCTCACATTCCAAATTCCAACTGTAAATTTCATCTTCATTTTTACCTCTTTGGGACTCACTAACAAACTTTTCATTGTAGCTCCTAGTCCCCAAAGCTGCAATGCAGTCCTTATTGTTTCGGGCGACGACCGAGCCAGTATGATTATTTGCTGTTGTGTTTACCCTCTGTTTGTAGCGTTTTTATAACAGTGTAGCAAGCTCCTGTCAACCCTCTTCCTTTACCCGGATTTGGTACCGGCACCGAACTATGCTGATTGCAGCCCCAGTGGTGGAGTTTATGCTTTAAGCTCAAATGAGTGGCGTTTATGCTTGTTTCAAAATATTATAATCGCAGGAATGGTCGAATTGCGAATTTCAATTGATTGTTACTATGTTTGTTATCTAATGCTATGCTATATTTGTCATCTTTGTAGAATTGTATGTACTTTCGATTGTAAAACTGCTGATATATAAAGCACAGCCTGTGCGTGGTAAACAAAAATAAACCTGAAGTTTGTATCTGAAGCAGTTGTGTTACAATATTATATTATAATGTTGGTGATGATAACTAGCTTTTTGCGATTGGATAATTTTTATGCGCTTTTTTTCCCACAAGTTTTAAAAAAAATTTATGATTAAACTATTAAAATTTTTATTTTACTTGTAGCTTGTTGAGAATAAAAAACCAATTAAAAGCGAAATTCAGGCATTATTTTAATTGTTATTAGGCTGTTCGGAAACTAATTTTCTTTTTTCCCGAACGAGGATTTAGTTTTAATTTTTAAATCCCAACGTCTCACTGAAGCCGCCTAATCATTATATGTAATAAGAGCTGATATAGCAAGGCTTGGGGGTAAAAAAAGTGTTTTATCAAATATGGAATATAATCAGCAGCATTTTTGTTATATATCATTTTTTACCATAGACAAGGTAAAAATGTTGTTCAGACCAAAAAGAAATTTATCGATGTGTAGCGGGTAGATACATTGTTAGTATGATAGTACGGCGTTTCCAAAATTTATTTGTAAAATTTTGATTCGGCAATTTTAATTTCAGAGATATTAAAGCCGATTGTGAAACGAATGAATACACGATAAAAGCATTAATTGATACAAGCCGGCAATTAAAAACACTTGAGATCAATGATGGGTTAAATTTAGCGAGTTGATCTGTTTATGACTTTGATTCAACCTAGTAGATCAATATATGGGTTTCTCATGTTCTCACGAAGATAAATTTGTGCCGTCGCTTAGACGTCTGTTATTCGCTTCCCAAACGTCACGAAGATGATTCGTTTTCGAATCATCATAACGCATAACGCATGAAATTAAGGAGCACAAAAATGAACCAGCTCAAAATATTGCAAAAGCCAATTTTTATCAAAACAACTTTCTAGTGGGATTTTAAAGAAATTGTTTTTTTTGCTTTTTACCAAATAAACAACAGTTAATTCGGAAGTTTACTGTCATTAGGTGGACAAACCTAATCATGCACTTCAACAGGCTGAGTTTAGTCAACAGAAAAGACGTTCCACCAAGATAATGTGAGACATTTCGTACAGGTTTGGTCAATCGCCAAGAGTTTTTACAGCTTGAATGGGATACACTGCCATATTACCATATTCTTTAGATCTATCGCCTTTTGATAATTATTTGTTACTGTCACTGGACTTAAAGCCTTTACTTCAATTGAAAAGGTCAAAAATCACATAGATCATTTTCTGGCCATTTATTTATAATTTTATGAATGTGGATTCATCTACTATCAGAAAGATGGCTAAAGGTGTTGAACCAGAATGGTCAATATATAATTTAATAAAATATTTATTTCATTTATACAAAACTTCTTTAGTTTTTACAAAAAAAACGAATTCACTTTCAACTTAATATATAATGTTATGTAATTTAACAACCAGTTATTTTTGCGGTAAACATAAATAAGCTTTTATATATGTGTTAAGGAAAAATTTGATAAATTATTGAAATATTAAATCTATAATTTCGTTTGATATGGTTTGATGTGTTTTTTACAGCCTGTTCAGAAATTAGTAAGATGCGTTTTAGGCACTCCTCAGCTGCCTCCATCAAGGAAGTATCCACCATTTAATATCAAGTCGGCTGAAAGCGACATTTTCGTAACAGATTCGGGTATTTTAAAATAAATTTAATTCATTTAACACATGAAATATTGTTGATTTTTTGATATCTTCGGATTCGCTGTTGTTACTTTTTCAATGTTTGTTCGTCTTTTTTCTTTTTACTTAATTAACACTGAAACAATGTATCATTAAGGTTTACACTTATCCTCATATCAATGGAAATGTTGAGAGCTAATCATTCAAAAAAAAGACGCCATATTAAATTTATCGTTTCATCTCCAGTCCTATCTTTAATGTCATCTATAAATTTTTTCTTGGCAATTATTCTAACTTTTCAGTTTCATTTTCCATTTTCCAAATATGTTTTAAGAGTCCCAGTTTTTTTTACTATTTTATAAATACTTTTTTGTTTTCCAAGTTGGTTATGCTTTCGTTCCACACTAACTGTGTCACATTATATATTCAAGAACGTTCTGCAGCACTCTGTTTCAAATGTTCCTTGTCTTTTTGACCTTCTTTTTTGTATAAGTACTAAAAGTTTGTATTTTCAATTTTTTATATTAACACTTTTCCAAATTTTTTGAACAGTGCAAACATTCTTTGAGCAATAGCTCGATTTAATAGTTAATATTTAATAATAGTTCAATTTATTTAAGCAATTGTTGTCGCTAAATATGAGACTGCTAATCAAAATGATGGACATGTTCTAGTTTTTCCGATTCAGATAATGTCATGCTTTTATTTCTTTCATGTTGCCAATGGTCTCCCAAATGATTAAAGAAGATGATTGGTTGATTAATCAGTCATTGATTGATTGGTTGACAGTTGGTCCTTCTGTTCTTTTCTCTTCAATCTTTCCTTGTTTTACTGACCTCAGTCTCCTAAATTTTTAATTTTCTTCACTATTATAAACGTATTTATTATAGCTTTTTATATTTAAAAACGTTTATTACATAATAATTTATTACATTTGTTAATTTTTAAAATTTAATTTATATTTTAAAATCTTTACAACATTTTCTAATATAATTTTGTTAAACCTTTAAAATATAATTTATTATATTTAAAAAATTTTTAGATGATGATCCATTAATACTTCCTAAACGTTTAGTCTTAGAATGGAAAAGCGGGTACCCCAACGATATCATTGTGGATTCAAAGCCTGTTAGTTTTTTTTAGGTTTTTTATATATGTGAAAGAAGTACGTATTTTACGTTAGTTGAATAATAAATTACTATGTTTTTACGTATCATTAGTAAAAAATGTAAAAAATAATTCACACAGAGCGAATTGCAAGACACTGGCAAACAATTGGGTAAGTATTAAATGTTGAATTAATTGTTACTATATATATATATATATATATATATATATATATATATATATATATATATATATATGTATATATATAATACTATATATATATATATATATATATATAAAATATCAATTGGGTTTAAGACTGTCGTAGATACAATTGTTTAAAAATATTACTGGGTTTTAAGCTTTGATTAGTTTTTGGTTCAGTTATTTCAATATTGTCTCCTAAAATTGACCTTGTGTTTCAACTTTATTGGTTCTAATAAAGTTGATCCATTATTTCTCTTTATTTGTATTTTTTGTCGGTAGTAAAATAAGAACGATATATGTATATATAAGATAAAACCAATATTTGATAAGATACTACATTGAAAATCGTAAACGATTACCGAAAAAAAGCTTTTTTTATAAGATAAAAATGAATAAAAAAAGTAGTTAAAAACTTTGTTTTCAATATAAATGATTTAAAAAAAGATAATAAAAATACGATACGAAATATTGAGAATTTGAACCAGAAACTGTAAAAACTGAAAATGCAGTGATATTTCTTAACAATTGTATCTTCGACTGTCTTAATCCTAATTATATACACACGCAAATATATATAAATATATATAAATACCTAGATATATATATGTATATATATATATATATATATATATATATATTTATATCACATATTTATCATATTTATTATCACATACATGTGTGTGTGCGTGAGTGCTTATTTATTTGTTTGTACAATTAACAATTAATACCTAGTAGATTCGAGCGTTCAGCTTTCCGACTGCTTGTCTCTGTTCACAGAGCCCGAAGTACTTGATGAGGATCATACATGGTTATTTTTATTATAATATAATCATAATTTTGTGCTGTAATATTTAATCATTGCTATTTTGAACTTTTTAGACGTCATGCAGCTTCAATTTTCAATTAACCTCAACTTTGTTGGAGTATTTATTTTTTATTTTTAATTGGTGGATAAAAGAGCAGATTCAAAATTAATGAATAATTATTTATTTATTTATTCAAAAACATAACCCGAAGCCTAAGTTTGTTGGGCGATGTACACAATAAAACATACTTCACATATATCGAACAGAATTAAATCATAAAATTCTACTTGTTGCAAACAGAATCAAACTAGAATTATTATGCAAAAATTAAATCATTACTTGTTACATAATTACAAATTAAATTTTCATGATGTTTAAAAGATGAGGCAGATCCTATGTTATTATTAGGCACTGTTCCACAACTTTAAAATCTATATGATCGGACTATTACTAAGTAGTTTAGTTTTACATAACGGTTGGTAAAAATATTTAATGGTTCTAGTTGGGCAATTAAAAACTAAACAAGATTCCAAATATAAACAGATACTTCCATAATACTAAGTTTATATGAAAGTATATAAATTCTATTTAAATACAAATCATTAATTGTCAATATTTCGGAATTGACAAAATACAGAATAATTAGAAGTATGAACATTATTTTTTGATTGTTCCACAAAAATTCTATGTAATTTTTGTCTTTTTTTTTAGATATATCATTTAAAATTTGAAATGCGGATTATTTTTATCTACCCAGGCTTTGTCCTCATTGCAAATGTCAAAGACAAGCTTCAAAACAAATGCTGCTCTATCGTCTTCCTCCTATTCTAGTTATTCACATCAAAAGATTTGCTTTCAACAGTTTCACATTTAGACAAAAAATTCAGGATTTCGTACAGTTTCCTCTACGGTGAGCTCAACAAATTTTTTGAATAAATCCATCACACATTGTAAAAGAATAAAAAATAAATAAAATTTAATAAAGGATAAAATAAAATAAACTAAAATTTACAGATAAATAAGTAAATAAAAAATAATATCATATTTATGTATTTCAAGTAAAAAATGAATGATATCAATAATATAAATGCATATTTATACCCACACATGTACATATAAATAGACGTCCAGAAACACACAACCGAATGGTAACTGTTATGATTAAAGTTTGTCGAAAATTTTGTTGCAACAGTGACTTGGATATGTCTCCTTACTGTGTCCCAAATTCTGCAATGTCACCATCGACGTATGATTTATATGCTGTCATCAACCATCATGGATTTTTGCTAGGTGGCCATTACACAACGTTTGCTCAATGTTATGGCGAAGGTCTAAACGATCAAATTGGTTAGATATAAGATACTAATTTTGTTTTTATTTAATGTCTTTTTATGGTTTGATCGATCAGGAAAACTAGCTTCACCTAGCGTTGCAGATATTTGAAACTGATGGGTAAGAAAGGTTAGTAAAACGTACAGCTTCCACATCACGTTAGTGCGCAACGAAACTGTTACTATCTTCAGTAAAATGTAGATCTTGTGGCTCAGTGATCTTGTTATTTTGAATATTTTTGATTACATGCAAATAATCGGATACAAGGAATATTATTGTGACATGGCCTGGAAGATTCATCGGTCAAGGGCCACCAAAGTTGTTGTAGAGTGAATGATTCATTCAGATAATTGTCGCGCACTATAGATCTGATGCAACCACTGCTTTTTACAACGGATTCAAAAGCTTCCAACAAATAACACTGATGTTGTTCTGCATCGAGATTAGTTACAGGAACGACACGAATGATAAAACGATGACCAACGTGGTGGCAGATTATCTCAAAACAAATTGCAGACGTGGATACTTGATCTGTGGCATTTTTTGGGCACCCTATGGACACGAACAGAACAGAGACAGAATTGAACGAAGATAAAAGAGAATAAAATAAACAGAACGAGGATAAAGCAGAATATTCAAATTTGAATTGATTTTAGTGTGCCATAGAATCTAATCTCGGCCCAATATTCTGCACAATTTATATATTCTAAATTGGTTAATAGGTTAATCTGAACTGATAAGATCAACAACATGGGTGTGCATGTGATGTTTGACATTGCTTTGATAATTTTCCTTCGAGTGGTGAAACTTGTCAAAGAATGTTTTCCAGCTGATATTTTGTTAACCTGGTGGTCTTTTTCACTGTGGTTCTTTGGACTGAGAATCGAGCCTTGGTGAACTCCAACGCCGATGTCAAATGCATCTGTGTTTCCAACCGTTGTGCTGACGAGAGTTAGTATTTGTATACATTTCCATCACAAGTCGAACAAGATATTCTGGAATGAGTTGTCAACGTAGACTCCACCTGGTTGCTTCACGGAGAACTCGATCAAATGCTTTTTCAAGGTTTTCAAAAATGTGTGATAGATGTTGATACTTTGCGAGGTAATTATTTTTCAGTTGCCGAAAGATGTGAATTGCATCAATTGTTGATTTCTCCGCTAGGAAACCAAAGTGATAATTTCCGATTGTGATGCACACATTAATCTTCTCTCAATGATTTTCTCGACAATTTTTAGGGGGTGTTCTAACAGACGTATACCCAGATTACTTTTGCCTTTGTATAGCGGGACTGTCATGCTATAGTTCCATTCAGTCGGCATTGAGCAATTTCTCCAGATTTCACAATGTTGTTGTTGGTCCTGGGCATGACATAAAACTGCATCCACGCTGCCTTGCGTGCTTTTGAACAAAATGCTAAGCCCACCGCTTTTGACTGGTGGTTGTCGTCAGGATGGGTGTCCGGATGTAAAAACTTTTCTCCAAATTACTCTTTTAATAATTAATAATAATTAATAACAACGACAATAATAATAATAATGACAATAATAATAATAACAATGATGTTGTTGTGTTGTCCACCGAATCGGCTTATGAGATCGTAGATGATTTCTTAATCCAAAATCTGATGCGCATATTTTACCACAATGGAAGCATCGAGAACCAGTTGATTTCAATTCTCTTGATGCTGCTGCATGACGGATAAGTCGACGCCTGCAAGAGGCATTCCAACATAAAACTTGTGAGACCAAATCTTTTTCAATGTAGACCGATCTTTCGCTATTTTTTCAAGTCCAGCCGAGTTGATGTTACATTTCTGAAGCACGTTTTTCACTGGATCCACGAATCGCTTCTTTGGCCGATCGACTGAACGACAGCCATTTTATGTAGACCGATCTTTCGCTGTATAACAATCTACGAGGTAGACGAATAACATGACCTATCCAGCGCAGATGTTGTTGTAACAATAAATATTTATCCGGTGTAGTACATGCAATTCTAAACGTATCTGTGAGGGATATTTTGTGCCACCATCTTATTCCAATAATGCTGCAAAACCAGCAAACATGAAAGGCCTCGAGGGCTTTGATCTGTCGACGATAAGGAGTCCAGAATTCACAACCGTAATGCAGGAATGCAAACAGCTTTGTACACAGCAGTCTTTGTCACCACGGTAAGATTGTGATTTAAAAAGACGCGATTCCTCAGTCTGCCAATGCAGCCGACGCCACCTTAATGCGATGCTCAATTTCACGATCGAGACGGCAGTCAGTACTGAGCATACTACCAAGATAAATGAATTCCTGCGAATCATTGAGAGCATCTCTATGAACTACGAAAGGTGAAGCTGTTTGTTTTGATTTGTAGCGAGGGAGTGTTGACAACAAGTCCTGCGCGACTATAGGCACGCGACAAGAAATTAAGACTATTTCGGAGAGCGAAGATGGTGTTGGCAGGAATGGCAGTGTCGTCAGTCTATTGGAATGCGAAAATCCTATCCTGTGATACTTTGCTTTCCGCCTTGAGTTGTGTATGTTAAAGAGGCTGCCGTTGAGACGGTAATGAAACTGAATGCCTGCGTCAGACTGAAAACCATCGCGATAGGTGAGAACGGCGACAGTGAGAAACACACACAGGAACCAAAACGCAGTCCTGTTTTACTCCCACCAAAACATCAAACGGTTTAGATTTCTTACCACCAACAATGATTTTAGCCCTCATACCTGTATGAAATTCACTTAGTACTGTCAGAAATTTTGTCACAAATCTACCCTGGATCATCCACAACAAATCTCCGATGAAGACCAGAAAAAAATTCTGGTTCTGTTTAAGGCACTTTTTCATCAAGAGGTGTACAGCAAAAATCATATTGGTGGTACCGCTTTGGAAGCCAGATTGCGTTTTTGGAATGACAACATCAACAATGTGATTTTGAAATCGTTTTAACATGACATGCTCTAAAATCTTGCCGGCGATGGAGAGCAAGGATATGTGCCACGACTGTCATTTCTGTGAAAAATTAAAAAACAAATTTATCTGTAGCATAATAATAGAGGTTGAAATGAATATGCGTTCGTCTTAATTACTTTTGTTTTTTTCAGAACTTAAAATTGACTTTTCTAGTTTACATGACCGAGTTTTAATGGAGATTTGGTAAAATAAAGTCTTTATTCATTTTTGCCATTGAAATTTTCTGTTCCCCTGGCGTCCTAATGATTATTTATTTTTACACATTCGAGATTTTGACAGTGAACACTTTACATAAATAAATTAAAGATAGTTTAAAAACGATTATTTGAAACTGGTTTAAAAGCCTTGCAAAGTATTGTGGAATTAGCTTAAAACAACGTGCTAACAAATTTTTCTCTTAATTTAAGAGTAATAAATTGACGATTTGATAATTTAAGCAATTTATTTAGAATAAATTGTTTCAAATTGTTATATTTTAAAAAGATAATATAAGTGTTAAAAATACAGGTTGGAGGTTTTTTGATGACTCAACTGTAACTCCATGTAGCGAAAATGATGTCATCACAGATGGAGCATACGTTCTTTTTTATAAAAAGAAGGATGCTGAACTTAATCAGCGCCACTTAAATACTTCGACGTTGACATCTTACCAAGATATGCCTATTCTAAATATTTTGAAACCTTCAATGTCAACAACAACATCATTACCTGATAAAGAGAATCGAATAACAACTTCACTGTCTTCATCTTCATCCATGATGATGTGCGAAAGTAATATTCAACTGAGTATTGACACCGCCAACTTAAACTATAACGACAACTTTGCAAATTGTGTGGAATTATTAAATGAAGTGCAAGTCACTAAGCCCATTGTTCCCGTCAACTGTGAAAGCGCGAACAATTGCTATGATTGTAATGTCAATATGAACGAAATTGATTAAATTGAACTTATAATTGTTTATTTAATTTTTTGGATGCAATTATCTGTTTGAATAAGTTTAAGTTAAATTAATTAACTGTGGTGAAAAAATTTCGGAGAATTTTTTCACATGCGTACATGTTTTTGGGGAAACAGTTTTTAACACTGGTTAGGTGTTGTAAATTTATTTGCGAGTCCTTAAGTTGATGGCATTGCGAAAAAAGTTATAAAAATCGCACTGATTGTAACAATTAAAAACGAAATTTATAATGAAAAGTTTAAATTAGAAAAACGTATATTACAAAAAAATATCAACTAGCAATTGAATAAAATTTATTTGATCAAAGATTCTAAATATAATACGGAACACTTTCATGGAACATATAGCGGTAATAAGGAATTGCCTCTATCAATTAATCTATCTTCGTTTAGCGTCCAGAGACCCAGTTTCCCAAGGTAGGACGTTGCTTTCTTTGCCATCAATTTTTTGCGCAAAATTAGACGATCAGTTTCCATTTCAAGGAGATGCCTTTTATTCCAGGCTGCACGTATGCGTGCTCAAACGGCAGCTTCAGCTGTTCCAGTACAATCCCAGAACATCCCCTAGATATTGAAACGATGTGACTTTATCTACCTTAATGGCTTCAAAAACATTGCGATTTCGAATTTGTTGTTGTGGATTGATGCAAGCAGGACAAACAAAATTGGACACTTTAGATAAAGTACCAATTATTTTTGATCAACGTTTGTGACACCACTAGTTACACTGCTGACACTTGATTGAATGGTTACCTACACCAGCTTTACAAACTGAACATCGTCCAGTAGCTGTAGATTGGATGGGTGTTCATTGCTTTGGTTTTGCTGATGTTGACTGAATCCATGATCGGTGAGTCTGGTGTTCCAATCTTCAAACATCTGTGCTGCATTCTGCTCAAAACGATATCATCAGCATATATTAGATTCCAATATGTCACCATGTCACAAGTGCGTATCGGTTTTGTGATTTCTTCCATCGCAGTTATAAATAACAGTGAATCGAGCCTGGTGAACTCCAACGCCGATGTCAAATGCATCTGTGTTTCCAACCGTTGTGCTGACGAGAGTTGTTAGTATTTGTATACATTTCCATCACAAGTCGAATTCTGGAATGAGTTGATTGCTTCACAGGGAACTCGATCAAATGCTTTTTCAAGGTCTACAAAAATGTGTGATAGTTGTTGATGCTTCGCGAGGTACTTCTCTTGCAGTTGCCGAAGCATGTGAATTGTATCAATTATTGATTTCCTCGCTAAGAAACCAAATTGATAATTTCCGATTGTGATGCACGACGTTAATTTCTCCAGATTTCACGGCAAAGTTGTATTAACGTTTGGATACCTGCAGTACCAGATGCTTTGATAATGTCATTTGTGAGTCCAGAGGGCCCTGCTGCCTTTCCATCCTTCATAGCTTTCAGAGCTTCTGTAAGCACCTCTACAATCACTGTAGAGGTCTGGAATCGGACTTTCGATACGTGGAGCGTCAAAGTTAACATTGATGGGATTTGTTTCGTTTAACAGACGGTTGAAGTATTCTCTCCGCTGTAGCTTGATCTCATCTTGTTCAAGAACCATCTCATTTTTGTCATTTTTAATACATGAGGCACCAACTATGTCTTTTTTCGTACGCTTTGCTTGTTTTGCTATACGATACGATTTCATTTGTTCACCTTTGCTTTTAGTGAGCACACTCTGCACTTATCTGTCCGAGCCAGTGCAACTTGATGTCTTGCATAGTTGTTCTTCTCACGGAAAATTTTATGGTCATCAACAGACTGATTTTTGCCATTGCTTGTATGCAACTTTCTTTTCCGTCTGTTAAACAAAACAAATCCCATCAATGTTAACTTTGACGCTCCACCCATCGAAAGTCCGATTCCAGACATCACTGTAGAGGTGCATACAGAAGCTCTGAAAGCTATGAAGGATGGAAAGGCAGCAGGACCCTCTGGACTCACAAATGACATTATCAAAGCATCTGGTACTGCAGGTATCCAAACGTTAATACAACTTTGCCGTGAAATCTGGAGAAATTAACGTCGTGCATCACAATCGGAAATTATCAATTTGGTTTCTTAGCGAGGAAATCAATAATTGATGCAATTCACATGCTTCGGCAACTGCAAGAGAAGTACCTCGCGAAGCATCAACAACTATCACACATTTTTGTAGACCTTGAAAAAGCATTTGATCGAGTTCCCCGTGAAGCAATCAGGTGAAGTCTACGTCGACAACTCATTCCAGAATATCTTGTTCGACTTGTGATGGAAATGTATACGAATACTAAGACTCGTCAGCACAACGGTTGGAAACACAGATGCAGTTGGCGTTGGAGTTCACCAAGGCTCGATTCTCAGTCCACTGTTATTTATTACTGCGATGGAAGAAATCACAAAACCGATACGCACTGGTGACATGGTGACATATTGGAATCTAATATATGCTGATGATATCGTTTTGAGCAGAATGCAGTACAGATGTTTGAAGATTGGAACACCAGACTCACCGATCATGGATTCGAAGTCAACATCAGCAAAACCAAAGCAATGAACACTGGTGAACCCATCCAATCTACAGCTACTGGACGATGTTCAGTTTGTAAAGCTGGTGTAGGTAACCATTCAATCAAGTGTCAGCAGTGTAACTAGTGGTGTCACAAACGTTGATCAAAAATAATTGGTACTTTATCTAAAGTGTCCAATTTTGTTTGTCCTGCTTGCATCAATCCACAACAACAAATTCGAAATCGCAATGTTTTTGAAGCCATTAAGGTAGATAAAGTCACATCGTTTCAATATCTAGGGGATGTTCTGGGATTGTACTGAAGCTGCCGTTCGAGCACGCATACGTGCAGCCTGGAATAAATGGCATCTCCTTGCCTCTATATTGATGCGGCGTGACATCCCACTACCACTACGATCAAGACTTTATAAATCTGTGAAACGTCCGGTGTTGTTATATGGTGCAGAAACATGGTTGTAGGGATCAAACATTTATTTATTAATTATCTTATGTATTAATTATTAAATTACTTAATCTATGTATATTTTTATGTCTTTGCTTCTCTCTCGACTTCTTCTTTTTTCCTGATAGCTTGTAAACGAAACGGTTCGAGATTTACGTGGGAATAAAGATAATATTTTATTACGCCTGAATTGTGTTTGTTTTATTTATTTTAACTCACAACAAGGTGTCTTGTTAGTATCATAAGTTAGTACTAACAAATTTGTGACCTCCGACGTGATCTGAACGAAAATCCGACGTGATCTGAATGAAAATCCAACGTGATTTGAACTAAAATCTCACGTGATTTTGAACGGACATCCGACGTAAAAAGAAATACGAAGATCCACGTGGTAAGATCAAAACGAAAACAAAATGTTCCAACCAAATGATGACCCGATCGCTATATTACCTCTTTTCAAGAAAACGGCGTCAACTGATTGGTTCGAGAATTCCAAAATGCAATTTCAATTGCGAAACGTGATGTGTAAAACAACAAAATTCTATCACGTAATAATTTCCCTGCCGTTGGATATAGTCTCAAATTTGTCATTAAAAGTGCAAAGAGGAACAGATTACGACGCTCTAAAAGCAGAGTTATTATCAACGTTCAAACAAACCAAACCAGAGCAATTGCAAGAAAAAGAACTTTTTAAAATAAATTTGAATCTGATGAATGTAAACTAAATTGAAGAGAGGCAACCACCAGAAGAGTCCAATAAAATAAAAGTTGTCCTGAGCAAGAACGAAGATAAAAATGACATCCAACAATCACAACAGCAAAATGCTGAGCAGAATGTTACCATCCCATCAGCAAATTCACACATGAACGATTCTCTCCTTCCAGTTCTCTCTCTTCCTTCTCCTGTTCAACAGCAGCAGCAGCAAGATCATCACAGAAAGAGAAAAGCAGAGCATCGTCTTCACACACATCTCATTCTAGAAATCGTTTGCAGCTGGACAAAAGGTTGCATGAGAGGCCAGAACAAAATTTGAACCAGCAACAAAAATGGCAACCGCGTTTTCAGCAACAACGCCATCACAACATCTCATGAAACAAGGTAAATGTCAACCAAATTATCAGCGACAAAAGCAACCTTCTTCAGTGGAAAAATCAAATTCAAATCAAAAAACAAACATTTTTCCATTTCCCTCTTGCGAGGGAATATTGTGAAAATGAAATATCTCCAGCAACAGCAGTAACAGGAACCAATTTGTTATTACCAAGTCGATTTTTATTCCCAGATTCAAATGAAGATATAACATCTAGTCAAATCAAACAACTAGCAAAAGAAATGTTTAAACTTAATGACTACCTAACAACTAACAATCAACATCACTCTACCCCAAAGCTTACGTACCAAATGACCTTTCAAACAGTAGTCACGTATGGTTAAGAGTAGATCGAGTACCTCGTCCATTGGAAGCACCATATACAGGCCCTTTCAAAGTGATTGAACGTAACGATAAATACTTTAAAATTGAATTGTTACCAGGAAATTTTCAAAATGTGTCAATTGATCGATTAAAGCCAGCTTGTTTATCATTACCTCTAACAGCCAAAACCAGAATAAACAACAAGAATAGTTCGACAACGAACAACAAACTTTCTACAACAGATTCAACAAAACCAGCAACATCAGACACAAAATCTACTGAAACACCAGAAACAGCAACAACAACATCAGGCGCAACAACAACACAAGAAACAAGACTGACGTCAACCAAATCCGAACCAACGACCCAACACTCCAGAAAAGGGGGGCGAATAACATTCAACAAACGAAATGAATATTTTTATTTTTAAACGGCTCGGCCTTTTGTGGGGGACTATTATAGGGATCAAACATTCATTTATTAACTATCTTATGTATTAATTATTATTAAAGATTATTGCAATTTTCAATGTTACCTAATCTATGTTAATTTTTATGTCTTTGCTTCTCTCTCGACTTCCCCCTTTTTCCTGATAGCTTGTAAACGAAACGGTTCGAGATTCACGTGGGAATAAAGATAATATTTTATTACGCCTGAATTGTGTTTGTTTTATTTATTTTAACTCACAACAAGGTGTCTTGTTAGTAGCATAAGTTCGTACTAACATGGCCAATGACAACCAAACTGGAACAACAACTTCAACGAACCGACATGAAAATGCTCCGATGGATGCAACGAATTAGTCTGAAGGACCACATCAAATCTACCGAAATCCTGCGTCGTACTGGTTTAGATGAAATAAAGGACGAATGCCGGCAACATCGTCTGCGGTGGTTTGGTCATGTCAAACGAAGTGGAAACAGTGCCATAACTTCTCTTGCAGATGTTGAAGTACCTGGCACACGTCCCAAAGGCCGTCCAAAGAAGTCCTGGTCGCCAACAATCGAGCAAGACATGAAAGCTCTATATTTAAATGAAATGGATACAACTGATCGTCTAATTTGGCGCAAAAAGTTGATGGCAAAGAAAACAACGTCCTACCTCGAGAAACCGGGTCTCTGGACGCAAAACGAAGATTGATTGATTGATCTTTTTCACATTAACTAATTAGTTAATGTGAAAAAGTTAATGTTTAAAGTCAAGTACCTTCGATGACATGAATAAAGTACATTGACATTTTTTGGAATTGTTATTGTGTAGTCTATATAGTGTCCGCATTCATATCAACAAAATATAATCAATTTTTTCTTATAAACACAAAAGATACACACACATATATATATATATAGTGTCAGAATTATGAAATAATACTGACTAAAAATATTTCAAAGTCATTTAACGCAAAATTAATTCACTCGATAGGTGGTTTGATGCAAAGTAATTCACTCGATAGGTAACTCAACGCAAGTTAATTTACTCAATAGGTGGCTAGACGATTTTTTTTTGTTTTGCAATTTAGATGACGTCATAAATTATTACAAATTATTTTAAAAATTTAATTAGTAGTTTTTTGATTAATTTGACATACCTTGGAAATATTTATGTTTAAAAACAACCGAAACAAAATCTAATTTTGCTTTGATATAGAATTTCTTTATCTTTAAGTAAGAAAAAGAGCGGCCGCTTTTGGGTTGACTAGTTAGGCAGCCTTGAATAATCGGTGCCTATTCTAGTATCTAGGAGACTTAATTCGTGACTATGCCCATTGGCATAGTTTCAGAAACGTCTTAAGTTCTCAAAAGTTGATTTGATACTAGACTCTATGCTCATTGGCATAGTTTCGCACACGTACTAAAGTCACACAATTGGTTCTTAATGTTGTTCTGACTCTTGTTTTTTTTGTGTTGGTTGTGCGAAAGCCAGCCAGACTCGACGGCCCAGTGAAAACAGGCCCTTGGTTGTGCGAAAGCCAACCAGACCCGACGGCCTAGTGAAAACAGGCCAGGGTTGTGCGAAAGCCAACCGACTGACTGACAGGACCAGTGAAAACAGGCCTTGGATTCTGTGAAAACGAATCCGCCTCGTTGTTTTGTTTTTGTTGTGCTATTTGTGGACCTAGGGTTCTTTGCTGGATTCTATACTCATTGGTATAGTTTCGCACACAGCTTACAATTCCCATAGGCTCCGATTTTTGTAATTTTTCTTCATTCATTTTATTTATCTCTCGGAGTTGTATCAACACCACCATCGGTCACACACGTCGAGGTTGTACGATTGAAAGGCAAGAAACATATCCCAAGTTGCCCGACCCAACAAGAAGTTCTAATTCCTGTATTCCAGTTTGTTCATTGACATTATTTTTAACATTGTTCTAGAGTTCAGTTAGTTCAATTCCTTTTCATTTATTTCCGTCGATTAATAAAATTGTTATCGAATATTTTACGCGTTCGTGTGTTACTCAGTAAAATCATATAATTCGAAAAAGCCAGGACTGGTCGAACTCACGATAAAAATATACAAAAATTATTGTCAGACCATAAAAAATTCCCTGAGAAAGATAGAGAAAGAGATTACCTCTCTTTCAGTTCAAATTCCCGACAATTGGCGCCCAACGTGGGGCCTAATTCAATCATTCATTAAAAATTTCCGACAATATATATTAGGGATGCACCGAAGTTCGGCTCCGGCCAAAATCCGGCTTTTTCCAGATTTGGTGGCCGGATTTAGGGCCGGGTTTAAGAGTCTATCAACATTTAAAAATGTTATAAATAGAAAAAAATTTCTTATTGAATTTAATTTATTTTATGTCATCAAGTTAAAGGCTAATTATACATGACACATAATAACAACATCACTATTGTGAGGTGAGCTGGACAATTTTCTTTATGCTATAACGTGGGTTATGCATAAATTATAAGCTGATCTTTGTGTAAAGAATTTGGCGTATCCCACAACTTATTCATATATTTGAACTAACTATTTGCTTTGTGTTATTTTTGGATGTTCAACATGTAGATAACCGTAAATGTGAATATTTTTTTAACGCATGTAAAATAGTAACTAAAATCTAACTAGTAACTAAAATTTTTGAATTTTAAATCCGGCCAAGTCCGGCCGGGAAAACCTAAATCCGGTGCATCCCTAATATAAATATATATATATGTGTGTGAGTGTGTGTGTGATTTTAAACTTCCTCAAATCGACACCAAAAAACTAAATATCCGGTTCCTAATCTTATAAAATCAAACATCACTATTGGCAAAAATGGAAACTAAGTTTTTTTTCAGATGATAGAAAACTTTACTTGACAATGTCACAAAAATGTTCCATTCTAGCAAACCATTACAAAAAAAATCAACGAACAAAAGCTACTTTCTAAATCTAATATCAGAAGTTTTTATCAATATGTCAATAACAAATTGTTTTAGCGACCCCAGGTTAGCAGTTTAAGATTAGATGACAATATTGTAACACACGACCCGTTGGTTATGTATGGCTAATGCACTTAACGACTATTTAGCTTCTGTGTTTACAAATGACAACAGCGACAACTATTCCCTATCTCGTCTTTCAACAAAGTTACTAGAAAATATCTGTTTCACACCTCGCAAAATATTTTTAACTCCACGAAACTTAAAAAATTCAACATCAGCTGGTCCAGATGGCATACCCAATATTATACTTATGATGTGTGCATCAACTCTGGCCCCTGGCAGTTCCACTTTGTCACATTTTCAATTTTTCATTTAGAAGCAATCTATATAAGCCTACCATATAGAAAATTGCATTTGTTACTCCTACCCATAAAAAGAGACCTACCAATTACCCCAGTACCTATAAACCAATTTCTCACACCAGTTCAAGTTGTAGAGTAATGGAAAAAATAATTAACGTAAAAATTTTATCTTTTCATGTAGAAAAAAAATCGATCACTAGTTCTCGACACGGTTTTTTACCTGCCAGATCCACCTGCTCCAACTTACTACAATTTCAGAGTGACCGGATGTCAATTCATCAGCTGCGACGCCATCTACCTAGATTTCCAAAAAACCTTCGACTCTGTCGCACTCAAAGCTAGTTGGAAAATTAGTCCTACGTAATGTCTGGAAAATTGCTTTTTTGGTTGACAGACTTCGTATTTGGTTAACAATTCCGAATTCAAAGTAAGCTATCAAGTTCTGTACCTGTTACTAAAGGTGTTCTACAGGGTGTTGTCCTGGGTCCCACCTTATTTTTTGATTTTCATAAACAAAATTGTTGAGTGCATCTCTTCGCCGATGATAAAAAATTATATTCCGTTCTTCCAACTCAGCTCAACTTCAACAGGTCATTAACGACATAGTTGTGTAGGGATCAAACATTCATTTATTAACTATCTTATGTATTAATTATTTATTATTAAAGATTATTGCAATTTTCAATGTTATTTAATCTATGTTAATTTTTATGTCTTTGCTTCTCTCTCGACTTCCCCTTTTTTCCTGATAGCTTGTAAACGAAACGGTTCGAGATTCACGTGGGAATAAAGATAATATTTTATTACGCCTGAATTGTGTTTTATTTATTTTAACTCACAACAAGGTGTCTTGTTAGTAGCACAAGTTCGTACTAACAGTTGCTTGAGTAGCAAATGGCAACTACCACTTTCTCCAAACAAACATTGCTCGTTTCTTCAATCACCAAGATCTGTTTTAATTCCACATCAATATTCAATTGACCAACAACTTCTAACATGTACAAACGAATTCAAAGATCTAAGAGTGATAGTTGATAACAAATTTAACTTCAATCTTCATATCAGCGACATCACTCACAGATCTTCTTCTCATGCACGTCTAATCGTCAGGTGTTTCACCTCCAGAGATAAAGATCTACTTACGAAAGCTTTTTACACGTATGTACGACCACTACTAGGATATTGCTCACCAGTATCACCAGTCCGCACTACAAGTATCAAGATTGAAAGTGTTCAAAGAAGATTTACCAAATTCATCCCGTCAATATGTCATCTTCCGTAATTAGATTACGAACACTCAAAATTCGTAGATTAATTTTCGATCTGTGCCTGTTGTACAAAATACTACGCAACCTTATCAAAACTGACCGAATCAGTCATTTCATACCTTCACGTTTTTTGTCAACTCGTGGTCATCAATGCCGATTGCAGGATTTCAATGCTAACGACGATACAACAAAATATTTCTACTGTAACAGGATTGTCCGGATATGAACGGTTTGCCGGCAGAAGTGGTTTCCTCAACTTCACTTGCAATTTCCAGAAATCATCTACTATCTATTAACTTGAATAAATTTTTGAATATAATCTAACTATTAATGTTAATATTGTCTCATTGAGAATTATAACCTTTTCATATTATGTGCTTAATCAATTTTGTCAATTAACATTTTCACCGAGCTACCATCGTCATTTACCCATTATTTATAACCACCAAGCTAAATTTTTTTTATTACACCCACAATGTTATTAGTTACATGTTTAAAATTTACTCTTGTACAAATTTACTCTCGTATAAATATATCAAATTCTATTGTAATCTTAGAGTTATTACGTATTTATCTTCAATATTGTTATGTTGGGGTCTCGTGGCCGAGTGGTTAGCGTGTCCGTCTCCGTCTACCACTCTCACGACCCGGGTTCGAATTCTGCAGTTTCTACAGATTCATCCGAGTAGTCGACCCTCGGTCTACCCAGCCGTCCATCCTTTCGAGGCTGGTAAATGGGTAGACGACGTAAGTTGTCGCATTTTGGCCGGCGAGATGGCTCAGTGGTTCGAATGCTCGCTGAGTCAAACATCTCAATGGCTATCATATACTCAGAGTATATGATGCGGTGCTTGCGCGTGCACATAAATACATGTGTACGTCGTGTGAAAAGGATGAACAGCCTTTGTGGCGAAAGATGGCTGCTTTAAATCAATAGATGAGGATTTGAAGAACATAATAACAAAAAACATATATAGATTATATATATATTTGTATGCGTATGTCAGAGCTGCAATAATAAAGACAAATAAAAAAAAATGTTGCCTTATTTATTAATTGTATTATCATGAGATGATTTCTGTTTGTTGATATCTTGTATTTTGGATTTAATTCATTGACGTGCGTTTTTTCTATTGAAAGCTGTTTTTTCTTTTCCTGACCAGATAAATGGTCTGTCATGGCCCTCTGGTCAGTTTGTCATTAAATAAATAAAAAAATATACAGATGGAACTTATTGATCTTAAAGCTTATTAAGTAAAGCTAATTCAGTACTTCACCGCTCAAACTTCAATTGCAATTTTATTGGCGATCACTGACATATAATCATTTTCCAAAACTAAGAAAATTTGTCACTTATCGTCACTTTGTGTCAACATGCGGGCGGGTAGGCATTTTCATCCATGAAATTGATCAAAAACAAACTGAGGTCACGACTTTCGGATTCAAATTTGAGAAATTGTCTGTCGTACAACGAATTCAACTCCCAATATTACAGATTTAGTAAAAGCAAAGCAAAATGAAAACTCTCATTAGAGCCAGATATTTAGTTTGCCTAAATGCAAAAATTAATATTTTATTAAAGACTTAACAGTATATATATACATATCAGATTTATATATATATATATATATATATATTGTCGGAAATTTTAAATGAAAACAACTGGTGTGAGGTTATCTCCTCCTCTATCTTTCTCAGGGAATTTTTTTATGGTCCGACAATATTTTTTGCGTATATTTTTATCGTGAGTTCGACCAGTCCTGTGTGGCACTGGGCTTTTTCGAATTATATGATTTTACTGAGTAACACACGAACGCGTAAAAATATTCGATAACAATTTTATTAATCGACGGAAGTAAATGAAAAGGAATTGAACTAAATAATGTAAAATGTCAATGAACAAACTGGAATACAGGAATTAGAACTTCTTCTTGTTGGGTCTTTGGCACGACATATGTTTCTTGCCGTTTAATCGTACAACCTGGACGTGTGTAACCGATAGTGATGTCGTTACAACTCCAAGAAATAAATAAAATGAATGCGGAAAAATTACAAAAATCGGAGCCTATGGAAATTGCAAGCTGCGTGTGAAACTATACCAATGAGTATAGAATCCAGCAAAGAACTCGAGGTCCACAAATAGCACAACAAAAACAAAACAACGAGGCGGATTCGTTTTCACAGAATCCAAGGCCTGTTTTCACTGGGCCTGTCTGTCAGTCGGTCGGCCTTTTCGAGAACTTAAGGCCGTCGAGTCTGATCGGCTTTCGCACGATCAAGGGCCTGTTTTCACTGGGCCTGTCTGTCAGTCGATCGGCTTTCGCACAACCCTGGCCTGTTTTCACTGGGCCGTCGAGTCTGATCGGCTTTCGCACGACCAACACAAAACAACAAGAGTCAGAACAACACTGGAAACAAATTGTGTGACTTTAGTACGCGTGCGAAACTATGTCAATGAGCATAGAGTCTCGTACCAAATCCACTTTTGAGAACTTAAGACGTTTCTGAAACTATGCCAATGAGCATAGAATCACGAATTAAGTCTCTTAGATACCAGAATAGGCACCGATTATTCGAAGCTGCCTAACTGGTGAACCCAAGGCGGACTCTTTTTGAGAACTTAAGACGTTTCTGAAACTATGCCAATGAGCATAGAATCACGAATTAAGTCTCTTAGGGACCAGAATAGGCACCGATTATTCGAAGCTGCCTAACTAGTCAACCCAGTCTTCCTTCCTTTCCACACCCTTCCTTATCAAAGCAAAATTAGATTTTGTTTCGGATGTTTTTAAACATAAAAATTTCCAAGGTATGTCCAATTAATCAAAAAAACTACTAATTAAATTTTAAAATAATTTGTAATAATTTATGACGTCATCTAAATTGCAAAAAAAAAAATCGTCGTCACCTATCGAGTAAATTAATTTTCACCATGCCCCCTATCGAATGAATAAATTTTGCGTTGAAAACTTTGAAGTATTTTTAGTCAGTATTATTTCATAATTCTGACACTATATATATATATATATATATATATATATATATATATATATATATATACTTTCTGTTTCGGTGCTGTCCCAGTGTTAACCTTTATCCTGCTTATTATAGTTGATTATTGTATATATGTAGGAAGACCATATCTTAAACAGTTTGTCCTATCAATTTTCCTTACTAGAATTTTCTGAAAATTGTTAAAATTGTTAAAAGTAGAATTATTATCAAAGTACTAACGAAAATTTAATGAAACTGTTGTTATCCGAATTCATCATGCAGATAAGGCCTTATTTCGATTTTTCATAAATCATTTTCAGTGCAGGTTTTTTTTATATAGTTTCTTTTGTTATATAGTTTGTTCTTTAGCAAAGTTGGGGTCATATTCTTCATCTTTGTTGTTGTCATTTTCTTATTGACGTTGAAGTTAGTATTAAGGCATCGAGTTGGTAATGATGTTATCTATCTTTGTTGGATGTTTATTCGAGGTTTATTGGTAACTATTAGGACAGCTTCTGCAATTTTTAGATGTATTTGTGTTGTTTTCAAGAATTTGGCGGGTTATTGGAGTCTTATTGACGTTGAAGTTAGTATTAAGGCATCGAGTTGGTAATGATGTTATCTATCTTTGTTGGATGTTTATTCAAGGTTTATTGGTAACTATTAGGACAGCTTCTGCAATTTTTAGATGTATTTGTGTTGTTTTCAAGAATTTGGCGGGTTATTGGAGTTGCATGTGTTGATTGCAAGTGAGATTTGATGGCTCCGCATTGTGAAACGTCTTGATAGTGAAGTGGTCGTAGCACCAATATACGAATGTTGCTGACGTGCACATTCGTCAAGTACCCCGAAAGTAAGAATAGAGGAGTTCGAAGTAAAATTATTGAGAGCAGCAGAAGAAAAATGATTAGAGATAAGAAGAAAACCAAGATAGACAAGAATCAGTAATATTAAAGGAATCATCTAGCAGCCTCAAGAGAATAGTATGATCAACAGTATCAAAGGCAGAGGAAGTCCGATGAGACTATCTTGATTATATCTTAGTTACTTTAAAATTATCAGACCTTACAACAAAGCGAGAAACTTGTTTCTAAATATGTTAGTAACGCATGTATGTATAATCACACATTTGAATTATACATGCTTGTTTCTATGTGCAAGTTTGAGTATGATAGAATTTGTCTAAAAGGTATTGATTCAATTTATACCAGATTAAAATTAATTTGTAATGTTAATAAGGCCTTTGTTACATACTTATGGATGTAATACAAAAATTTACATTAGGTTTGTGACTAGTACAGGCTGCTAGTGAAGCTTTAGTACTATATATATATATAATCTACAAAAATTTTAGCTTTTGAAAGTTTACGGTTGAGCTTTTCAATATTTCTAATAGTAATTTTATAATTATCATCCAATTTATTGAAATTAATACCAACGATTACCATACATCATAAACACCAACAATTTTTGTATTAATTTTAATAAATTAGATAATAATTCAATCAATCAATCTTCGTTTAGCGTCCAGAGACTCAGTTTCCCGAGGTAGGACGTTGTTTTCTTTGCCATCAACTTTTTGCGCCAAATTCGACGATCAGTTGTATCCATTTCATTTAAATTTAGAGCTTTCAAGCCATGCTCGATTGTTTGCGACCAGGACTTCTTTGGACGGCCTTTAGGACGTGTGCCAGGTACTTCAACATCTGCAAGATGTTAACATCTGCAAGATGTTGAAGTACCTGTTGAAGAACACTCGTTTGATATGACCAAACCACCGCAGACGGTGTTGCCGGCATTCGTCCTTTTTATCAACGCAGAATTTCATTAGATTCGATGTGGTTCTACAGACTAATCCGTTGCATCCATCGGAGCATTTTCATGTCGGTTCGTTGAAGTTGTTGTTCCAGTTTGGTTGTCATTAGCCATGTTTCTGCACCATATAACACCGGACGTATTACAGATTTATAAAGTCGTGATCGTAGTGGTAGTGGAATATCACGCCGCATTAATATAGAGGCAAGAAGATGCCATTTATTCCAGGCTGCAAGGATGCGTTCTTTAACGGCAGCTTCAGCTGTTCCAGCACAATCTAGAACATCCCCTAGATATTGAAACGATGTGACTTTCTCTACCTTAATGGCTTCAAAAACATTGCTATATCGAATTTGTTGTTGTGGATTGATGCAAGCAGAACAAACAAAATTGGACACTTTAGATAAAGTGCCAATTATTTTTGAACAACGTTTATGACACCACTGGTTACACTGCTGATATTTGATTGAATTGTTACCTACACCAGCTTTATATTAAATTAGATAATAATTATAAAATTACTGTTATAAATATAGAAAAGCTTAACCGTAAACTTTCAAAAACTAAAATTTCGGAAGATTTTATCAAATATCGCATCAATTATTATAGTCTCCTACCAGCATAAATTAAAATATATATATATATATCTACAAAAACAAAATTAAAGATCGTAGAAGCGTGTGTGTTTTCTACATTGATGTATGCATGTGAGGCTTGGACGTTGAAGAAAAGAGACAAAGACAAACTGGAAGCATTCGAGATGCATTGTTATAAAAAGTTGCTGGAAATCAGTTGGAGACAAAAGATAAGAAACGATGCCATAAGAAAACAACTTGGAAGACAAAAAACTGTGTATGAAAGTGTCAAGGAAAGAAAGCTGGGTATCTTTGGGCACATCTGCAGAATGACAGACGACAGACTGATCTAAAAAGTACTGATGAGAAAGAGGGACTGGAAGAAAAAAGTGGGAAGAACTGTGAGGAAGTGGATGGATGATATCACGGAATGGACGGGGGTTGGAACATTGGGCTCAATGAAGATGGCGAGAGAAAGAAAAGGATTTTGGAGAGATATAAGAATACCATCGGCTTCAACGGTCCCTTAAGGGATTACAGAGGATCATTGAATGAATATATATATTGAAACGATGTGACTTTCTCTACCTTATGGCTTCAAAATGGCTATATATATATATATATATATATATATATATATATATATATATATATATATATATATTATTAATGAAAAATTTAATAAAGCGCTAATTCAAAGAATCTCAAAAGCGCTATCAAAAAAAAATATATCATGGCATAATCAACATAAATAAATGAAAAAATTTTAAGAAAAAAAAACACAGTCTTCATTATTTCCTTAATCTAACATCGCACAATAAACAAAATAAATCACTCAGTTATAACGAAAATAAGTAAGTTTTCAGTTTCCTTTTAAAATCAGGCAGGTTCAACTCCGGATCTCTTAGAAAGGCAGGCAAATTGTTCCAAACAGACGGTCCCAAGACGGCGATGTTACGAGACCCCATATGAAGACACGAAACTGGGACTAGCAGCAAGTTCAGATCATGAAACCTCAGATGCGTTCCAGAAGGTCCCTTAAGAGATTACAGAGGATCATTGAATGAATATATATATATATTGAAACGATGTGACTTTCTCTACCTTATAGCTTCAAAATGGCTATATATATATATATATATATATATATATATATATATATAGTATCAGAATTAGGAAATAATACTGACTAAAAATACTTCCAAGTCCTTCAACGCAAAATTAATTCACTCGATAGGTGGCTTGATGCAAAAAAGTTCACTCGATAGGGGGCCTGATGCAAGTTAATTTACTCGATAGGTGGCTAGACGATTTTCCTTGTTTTGCAATTTAGATGACGTCATAAATTATTACAAATTATTTTAAAATTTAATTAGTAGTTTTTTTTTGATTAATTTGACATACCTTGGAAATTATGTTTAAAAACATCCGAAACAAAATCTAATTTTGCTTTGATATAGAGTTTCTTTATCTTTAAAAAAAGGAGATGGTCCGCACTGGGTTGACTAGTTAGGCAGCCTTGAATAATCGGCGCCTATTCTGGTCTCTAAGAGACTTAATTCGATATTCTATGCTAATTGGCACGGAAACGTCTTAAGTTCTCGAAAAGAGTCCGCCTTGGGTTCACCAGTTAGGCAGCTTCGAGTAATCGGTGCTTATTCTGGTATCTAAGAGACTTAATTCGTGATTCTATGCTCATTGGCATAGTTTCAGAAACGTCTTAAGTTCTCAAAAGTGGATTTGGTACGAGACTCTATGGTCATTGGTCATAGTTTCGCACGCGTACTAAAGTCACACAATTTGTTTCCAGTGTTGTTCCGATTCTTGTTGTTTTGTGTTGGTTGTGCGAAAGCCAACCAGACTCGACGGCCCAGTGAAAACAGGCCAGGGTTGTGCGAAAGCCGACCGACTGACTGACAGGCCCAGTGAAAACAGGCCCTTGGTTGTGCGAAAGCCAACCAGACTCGACGGCCAGGGTTGTGCGAAAGCCGACCGACTGACTGACAAGCCCAGTGAAAACAGGCCTTGGATTTTGTGAAAACGAATCCGTCTTGTTGTTTTGTTTTTGTTGTGCTATTTGTGGACCTAGGGTTCTTTGCTGGATTCTATACTCATTGGTATAGTTTCGCACGCAGCTTGGAATTTCCATAGGCTCCGATTTTTGTAATTTTTCTGCATTCATTTTATTTATTTCTCGGAGTTGTATCGACACCACCATCGGTCACACACGTTGTATGGTTGTACGATTAAACGGCAAGAAACATATCCCAATTTGCCCGACCCAACAAGAAAAAGTTCTAATTCCTGTATTCCAGTTTGTTCATTGACATTATTTTTAACATTATTCTAGAGTTCAGTTAGTTCAATTCTTTTTCATTTACTTCCGTCGATTAATAAAATTGTTATCGAATATTTTACGCGTTCGTGTGTTACTCAGTAAAATCATATAATTTGAAAAAGCCCAGTGCCACACAGGACTGGTCGAACTCACGATAAAAATATACAAAAAAATTATTGTCGGACCATAACAAAATTCCCTGAGAAGAATATAGGAGGAGATTACCTCACTTCCAGTTCCAAATTTCCGACAATTGGCGCCCAACGGGGGCCTCGAATAACAATTTTTCAAGTTATTGAGGTTTCCATTTTACTTTTAATTATTACTTCAGTTTTGGAAGTATCGAGTTTTTTTTTACGATTGATTTACTGAGTAACTCGTTGTAAAATATAACAATTTTTCTTGTTTTTGCATTTCTATTACATTATTGAGTAATTGCACACATTCGATATTTTGATAGTATTAAGATTTGTATTTGAGTTGCACTATGCCAAATCGCAAAACACACCCTAGGCAAAGTGAGATGCCAGATGAGGAAGCAAATGTAAATAATAGAATTTTTAGTAAAACTAAAGAGTGGAAAGTTAGTAGATTTAATGACTCAGAGAATATAACTGAGTATTTTTGTCAATTTGAAATAACCGCAAAAGTTAATAAATGGACATCACAAGAAAAAGCACTATCCCTTTTGCACGCACTAGATGGGAAAGCAAGAGGTGTATTTCACGAATTGCCAGATATTGATACAGTCACGTATAACGAGATTAAAGAGCTGTTGTTTAAACGATTTGGACCATCAAACTATTCAGAAACATACGAATATAATTTATCGCAGCTTAGATTACAAAATGATCAGAACATTCGAGATGTGTCTCAGGAAGTTAACAGACTATCAAGACTATCCTATCCAGAGTTAAGTAATGACATGAGAGAAAAGTTTGCAGTAAAACATTTAATTAATGCTATTGGTAATAAAGACATCATGTTCTATGTAAAAGACAAAGAACCAAGAACATTAGATGAAGTATGTCAGCTATATGAAAAATATAAAGTTTTATCAGATGATGGCAAGAGAAATCATTCGAGATCTCTAGTTCAGATAGTTCAAGATAATGACGAGTTTGATGACAAGAAATCCAATGTTGTTAAACAAGATGATCCAATTACAAATATGAATAACAGAATAGAAAAATTGTTCAGCATGATTGATGAGATTAAACGAGATAAGTTTGAAAACAGAAATAACAGCCAGAGAAAAGCTTTTAACAATAAGTTTGGAAATAATAATTTCATCAGAAACAACAGTGCGATTGACAAAAAAAAAGTAGTTACCAGCAAAATAATGGAAACTTCAGTCAAACGAACACTAATAACTTCAGGCAAAAAGTTGGTAGTTTTAAAAATACGACGAGATTAAATCGAAACGTACAAACAGTAAAAACACCCTCCAAGTGTAACCATGATAAGGAAGCATTAGTTCATGTAGAAGCTGTATTTAGAACTAAACATTTAAAATGTCTACTAGATAGTGGTGCAGATGTGAATCTTTGTCCAAAGAAATTTGTTGATGATTTGAAAATTTTGAAAAGTAATAAGGAATTGTATGCAGTTAATAACATGGAGTTAATAGTAAACGGAACAATTACACTGGCATTAGAACTTAAGTATCAGAAGATTTTTACAACTTTCTATGTGTCACCAAACGTTGATCATATAATTTTAGGGAAGAATTGGTTATATAACAATTGCATTTGGAATTTTGGAAGGAGTAGTATTGAAATAAACGGAAAAAGTTACAACCTCGTAAAATCTAGACAAGAAACAGATATAAGCTGCATTTCGAAAGTTACGGCTGTCATTCCACCCCGCAGTGAAATGTTCATTCAGACGTTTATAGAAAAATCAAATTTGAGGCTTTTAGGACAGGATACAGCATGGTCAACTAGCATAAATAAAGTCAAAAACAATTTGCTAACTGCGAGATCATTAATTGATGTCAATAAACCGTCTACGAGTATTAGAGTATGTGACATATCAGATGAAAAAGTTGAAATACCTAAGGATCAAGTAATCACCAAATTACATGAAGTTGTTGTAGTTGATGATAAAGTTCAAGAATCAAATAACAAACCCACCAATGTATATGATGAGACTATAAACACAATAGTTGATGAGGTACATTCCAGTGTTCCAGATAATATTCGTAGTAATTTGAAAAAGTTGTTGCTGAAGTATAAAAACATTCTCTCATTAAGCGAGTTTGATTTAGGAAGAACTAATGTAACGCAACATGAAATTGATACCGGAGCAAACAGACCATTTCGCCAAGCTTTGCGACCGCAACCTAGAGCACATCTACCAATCATTGACAATTTGTTAGAAGAGATGTTACAGCAAAAAGTTATAGAACCTTGTCAGAGCGAATGGGCTTCTAATTTAGTATTAGTTAAAAAGAAAGATAATTCCTACAGATTCTGTGTAGATTATAGAAAGTTAAATGAAATAACGATTAAAGATGTGTATCCACTTCCTCGAATAGACTCATGTCTCGATTTGTTGTCTGGATCCCAATGGTTCAGTTCATTCGATTTAAGATCAGGATATCATCAGGTTGAAGTTCATCCTAAAGATAGAAATAAGACCACTTTTGTTTGTCATCGCGGTACCTTCAGATTTCCCAGAATGCCATTTGGACTTTGTGATGCCACATTTCAAAGATTAATGGACAATATCATGATAGGATTAAATTTTGAGACCTGTTTAGTTTACTTAGACGATATAATCATATTTAGTAAAAATTTAAACGAACATTTAAAAAGATTAGAACTGTTGTTTCAAAGATTGCACCAGGCGAATTTAAAGCTCAAACCGTCGAAATGTCATTTAATGCAGAAATCAGTTAGCTGTTTAGGTTATATAGTTAGTGATAAAGGGATCGGAACGGACCCTATTAAAATTGCAGCAATTAAAGATTGGCCAGTACCAACTACACTAAAACAAAGTAGAGCGTTTGTAGGTTTGTGCCAGTACTACAGACGATTTGTACCAGATTTTTCAGAAATAGCAGCTCCGTTACATGAATTGACAAAGAAATGTAACAAGTTTCAATGGACACTCGAATGTCAAACTGCTTTTGATAGATTGAAAGAAAAATTAATCAGTTCTGAAATATTAGCTTTACCTAATGACAAGGATGCGTTTATTTTAGATTGCGATGCTTCAGATAAAGCCATGGGTGCAGTACTTTCACAATTACAAGATGGAGTAGAAAAACCCATTTGTTACGGTAGTCAGTTATTTAATAAACATGAGGTGAATTACAATGTAACCAGGAAAGAATTACTTGCAATTATAACATTTGTGAAAAAGTTCAGGAAGTATCTGGTCGGACGTTCATTCAAAATAAGAACAGATCATGCAGCGCTTCAGTGGTTGAGAAAAACACCAGAACTAATAGGACAACAAGCGAGGTGGATTGAAATTCTTGAAGAGTACGATTAGGCTATTGAGCATAGGCCAGGGAGTAAACATACAAACGCTGATGGATTGTCGAGAGCAGTGTGTGGTGTTATAACAGAAAATAAAGTAGATAACTGTGTTGATTGGGTTGCAGAACAAGAGAAAGACAAAGACCTATCCTTAATTAAAGACGTCATCAAACATTCTGTAGTACCAGATTTGAGTCAATTTGTTGATAAAGGAAAAGATGTTAAAATATTACTTGCACAGTATGACAACTTGTTTTTAACAGATAAAGGTGTATTGAAGAGACGAATTAACAATTTTGATCAGATAGTTGTTCCCTACACAATGCGGCAAGAAGTACTTAGAGATTTGCACAGTGGGATGAATGGAGCCCACCTAGGAATCAAAAAGCTAACATGGCAATTTGAAAGATTTTATTGGCCTGGATGGAGGAAGGACGTTGAATTAACCCACAAATTATGTGAACAATGTAACAAATTTAACCGACAAAAACATTTTAAACAAGGTGAATTACAGCCAATGTTGGTCGGTGAGCCATGGGAAAGATTAGGAGTTGATATAACAGGGTCACACCTAGAGTCAAGTAAGAAGCATAAATACATCTTAACTGTCATCGATTATTTCACGAAGTGGACAGAAGCTATTCCTTTGAAACGCGTAGATGCATCTTATGTTGCTCATAAATTAATTCAAAATGTATTTTGTAGATACGGACTACCAAAACAGATACTAACCGATCAAGGTAAGAATTTTGAATCTCAGTTATTTAAAGATATCTGTGAACAACTTGGCGTAGATAAAATCCGTACCACTACCTATAAACCCTCAACAAATGGTCTGGTAGAAAGATTCCATAGAACACTCAATAAAATGATAGGAAAAGTGATAAATAAGAATCATCGAGATTGGGACGAAATTCTTCCATACGTAATGTTTGCATACCGAACAACAGTGCAGAGTAGTACTGGATTTTCACCTTTTTTCCTAATGCATGGTAGAGAAGTGTGCATGTCTGTGTGTTTAAGTAACCAACCATGTGATTTTATGCTACATTTTGATATTAAATATAAAATAAATCCTCAACATTATTTTAAATTAATTATTGATTTTAAATGGTCTGGTAGAAAGATTCCATGGAACACTCAATAAAATGATAGGAAAAGTGATAAATAAGAATCATCGAGATTGGGACGAAATTCTTCCATACGTAATGTTTGCATACCGAACAACAGTGCAGAGTAGTACTGGATTTTCACCTTTTTTCCTAATGCATGGTAGAGAAGTGTGCATGTCTGTGTGTTTAAGTAACCAACCATGTGATTTTATGCTACATTTTGATATTAAATATAAAATAAATCCTCAACATTATTTTTAATTAATTATTGATTTTAAATTTGAAAAATGTTAACAAATTTAAAATATACAACAAAAAAGGATATAAAATACAAAGATGAGATTTTCAAAAAAAAGCAGTAAAGAAATATTAATAACGATATATTAATTATTTTCATCAAGTAAAAACGATTAGTTTAATGGTGTCAACTATTATACTATAACTGAGACTCCGTTTATTTAAAGAATAAATTCTTAACCGGCTGCAATACCGACAACTACAATGAGTCCCAGACATATCGAGACTATCAGATAAATGTTGAGAGTTCTCTGCTTGAAAGCCCGTCCCTAAAAATTTATTTAAAAATTTTTAAAACAAAAAAATTATTTGAAAATCGGCATGTTTTATGTAAAATTGGACTTACCACAGGTTCAGGCTTGACTTTTGAAGCTTTAGCATTTATCACTTTCTGGTAGTAAGCTAATAAAATAAAAGTTTTGCTATTAATACAACAAATTAAAGTCTAGTTTCAAAAATAAAATGGCTTAATATGATCAACGAATTGAGAAACAAAACTAAAAAATTGCAAATAAACAGACTCTTGAATAAACAAAAAACCTTTGCAACTGTATATGCAATTATTGATGAAAATCACAGCATGTTCGGCGTTAGTCAACTTTCAATTTTACTTTTCGATTTTTCCAAGGGTTGCATATGACTAACAACCATCTACGACCAATAATTAGCCAGACCTGCGATCACTTACGTCATTGCAAAAAAATACTCAAAATAATTTCACCCTACACCCCTAACAGCTATAACCTAAAATCAAGTAGGGAATTCATAGATTTATTGTTTACAACAAAACCATCCATTAACACCAAAATAGCATCTTTGGATGTGGAGTCACTCTTTACAAAAGGACTCTGATAAAAAACACAATCAGCATAATAATAGAAAGAATATACAATTCCAGTCATTCACCACTACCAATTCCAGATGATGAATTATTTGCGCTGCTAAGAATATGTACAGTACAGCCAAAGCGCCTTTCGTTAGCCTGGGTAACACACTATATCAGCAAATAGCCGGTGTAGCAATATGCTCTCAATTGGGAGTACTTTTCACAAACTTCTAAGTTGGACATATCGAAGAACTGTTATTAAAAATGAACTAACCTAATATAAACTGCCGATATGTTGACGATATATTTGTTACATATGAAGATGATGATCAAATAGCAAGACTTCTACAACGACTAAACTCGTCAAAATTAAAGTTTACAATGGAAAAATCAACTGAGAATAAACGACTTACTAATACAAAATGTGCAAAATGAATTTAAAATCTCAGTATACACCAAAGCAACAAAGGTTTATGCCTCAATGGCGATATGTGAATGTTGTCAAAAATATCTAGAGAGCACGATTTCTGTCTTTGTAAACCGAGCCTACACGCACTCTTCTGATATAGAGAGCAGGAGAACATAACTAGATAGAATCACTTAACTACTTATTAATAATGGATATAAAAATTCGATGATCCAGAAAATAATAGAACGCAAAGAACAAAAAATCATCAACAATATGGAATAGATACGATACAACGATACATTTTATTTGTCTCCAAAACAAAGGAAAAAAGAAGACAGGATGACCATAAAATGTTTACAAGTAACCTATCAAGTATAGCCACCTTAAACATAGGTAAAAAGAAAATAAAATTAATTTCTATAAAAAAACAAATCATAGATACACAATATACATATGCATAAACATATATATATACATACATATATACATATATATATATATATATATATATATATACATACACATACATACATTTAACATAGATTAAAGCTGAACCCGGATATGATTATTACTTCCTTATAGTTCTAATCAATTATGGGTTCATATACATACATAAGTTTACCACTAATACTGTTATCATTATGAACATTTACAAACAGTGCCAATCTACTTAAATCGCATCGACAGCTATGATTTTACAATTGTCTGTCGGGAACCCTGTCGCTCTTATACAAATCAGGTGGCTTAAACGTTAGATCGCTAACGAATTTCAAACTCAAAAGAAAGATTATAAACAGTTAGCAAACTAAACACAACAGTGTAGTGGAAACTCGAATCCTTAGAGTTCAAAAATCACTTCACCATTATATTCAACCACACATTATTACAAACTCACACAAAGCCTCACAAGATACAGCAACAACTTGCAAAGACAATAACATTAAAATTATTACAATATAAAGAGATTAACAATAAATATTAAAATTATTACAATCTATCAATACAAAGACAATAACTATTGAAATTGATCAGCAAATTTAGCAAACGGGCAATTTAATTTGGTATCGTATCTAAGAGTTTAATTTAATATGGTATCGTATCTATATCTAGGAGTAATCGTTGATAGTCACTGTCAGCAACTAGACACAACAGGACAGTGAAAACATAAAAAGAAGTTAAATCTACAAGTTAAGAAGTTAAAAAGTCATGCTATGAAAGTAGTTCACAAAGCAACATTAATTATAATTCAAACTAATAATAATAATTTTTCGTGAATATACAATTTAATATAAACATAGACTAACCATCCAGTTTTTTCGAATTAAGACATCCATGTATCTCCAAAATGAGTTCAACAATGAGATGAAACAAAAAAAATATTACCATAACCCACGTTGCCCACCAAGGAACATGAGACTTTTGCAGATTCATCCCAATAAACATGTTAATAGCTGTTGATTAAATTAGTAAATTGGGCATAAAGTATGCTGAAATTGCATTTAAAAATTTTCCAATTAATAAAAACATTTGGAAAATATAACAATGGCAATTTGAATCATGCAGCTGATGTGATTTTTGTGATTTTATATTTTTATTATTATTATTATAAGCAGAGTATCTGAGTCGGATGAAAAATATCCGACTAATTAAAAAATTTCCGACTCCCGGATTCGCCTAGCAAAAAATTTAAATAAAAAAAAGACTTAAAAAAACACCTAAAATAAGTCAATGTAATTATTTTTCTTAGTAAATTTACTTTATTTTTGTGTTTTAAAACATACAGTTAAAAATTATATGATTTTACTTACATTATTTTCAGTATTAAAGATAACTGCATATCGTTACACATATTTATCTAAATAAACGCGATCTTAGCATTGAGGCGTCGAGTAGATAAAAAAATTATTCCGAAATTTTTTTTATTAATGTTTTTTAAATTAATTTTTTTAAATTAATAACATTTTCCAGAGTCGGATGAAAAAATCCGACTTCGACTCCGGCTGTCAGAAAATTCAGACTCCGAAACACTCTGATTATAAGCACCCTTATTATTATTTTCACTTCAACCTACTAGCAAGTAGACCAGCCACACTTTCAAGAAGCCATAAAAACCAGTTGGCACATATTTCATGAGGAGGTGGATCATAATCAATGTCCTTGGATCTGCATAGAGCTATCAAAGGCTATAAAGAAAATAATTTTATCAACAATTACATACACATTTTATGAAATTTAACAATCGTAATATGAAAAAGTTCAGAATATCGAACAGCGGATTGATTGTTAGTGTCGAAAGCGATATTTGATATTTGACTCTGCATTTTGTATTTTTATTGTATATGCGATATAGGTTAGTGAATTGTGATTCGGAAAGCGATAGTTTCTGAACGTTAATTTTATAGTTTTTCACATTATTTTTATCTATAAAATTAATTAGCATTATTTATTGATTTGTAAAGAAGTAAAACGATAGTTTAAAAGTTATGTCATGTCAATTTTATCCATTGGGATAAAACGAACCCGTCGTCTACTGGGCAGTTATAACAGTATTAACATTAGTTAATATCAATAATTGAAAGGTAAAACTATATCTAGCCAAAATAATATCCATATGGCAAAACATAAATTTAACAAGAATTTCAACTGTTTTAATATTTGCAACAAAAATCAACAGTATCACACCAAACACAATAATTTTATATAATCGAATAATTTTAAAAACTTGCTATCTATGGCGTAATTGAAATTTTTTTATTAAATAAACAAACCAATAATCTAAAATCAAATTGCTAACAATGAGTATAATAAGTATCGTAGTAACGATGCCGATCGGAGCGTGGGCTTTGTCAGGACTTGCTGGCAACTGTTCATTGTTAATAATATTGTAACATTATATTTATGGACTATTATTAAAAAATAAAATATATTTGAACTATTCATTCACAACAATCATAAAATAATTATTAAACCTCCAGAACACCATTCAATCGTCCGCACTGACCAGCTTAAAATTTAAGGCGTCACTCATCTCAACGCTCAACATTGCTCCCCACATCAATCATCAATAAAAACTTACAGACATTGCACTTTTTCAAAATATTATGCTCCCTTAGAATGAAGGGCATTAAATTATTTGATGTCAATAAGTCCCTCATAATTTCCAGAATAAAATATGCTGCTCCGTCATGGTCAGGCTTTGCCACCCAGCAACAATTACATCAATCGAATTATTTACCATCATCATATCCACCCATCAACTCAAATCTTCAACACATCAGACGTCCGCTTTTAAAAAAAACAAGTTCAAATTGCCATCATGTCATCCACCCTTTACTACCACCGATCAAAATCACGCCGCACAGCCTATGCCAACGCAAAAACAACTACGTAATCCCAGCGTGCTCAACATACCGGAATAAAACATATACAACATAGACATTTCAAATCAATCACCAATCAGCCGGACACCCATCGCTCATCCGCCTAATCTAGTTTCATTATATTAAATTATTATAAATTATTATTTTTTCCACCTAATTTAAAAGTATTTCAAATAATTTGCATTTCTGTTTTATTTCCATTTCACTGAATTTCTCATCATACTACAATTTTTATATTCACTACATTTTTATTAACCACAGTCTATATATATATATATATATATATATATATATATATATATATTTACAATATTCTATAAATTCTATCGAATGTTTGGCGTTAATATGTTTGTAGTTCGTTTTTTCGATTTTTCTCACTAAAGTTTTTTGGTGAACGTTTAGTTTATTAAAATTCAAAATAAACTTATTTTTCGAATTCATGCTGCAAAT